GTAACGGGTGAATTCCATCTTTAGGAGCTGAAGTTTTTGTGTTTGTAACTGGTGAAGTCCAGCTTTAGGAGATGAAGTTTTTGTATTTGTTACTGGTGAACTTCAGCTCTAGAGCTGAAGTTTTTGTTTTATACCTGTCGAACTTCAGCTCTAGAGTTGAAGTTTTTTTATAAATTTCGAACTTCAGCTCTGGAGCTGAAGTGTTTTATACCTGTCGAACTTCAGCTCTAGAGCTGAAGTTTTTTTGTAAATTTCGAACTTCAGCTCTGGAGCTGAAGTTTTTGTTTTATACCTGTCGAACTTCAGCTCTAGAGCTGAAGTTTTTTGTTAAATTTCGAACTTCAGCTCTGGAGCTGAGGTTTTGTTTATACCTGTCGAACTTCAACTCTAGAGCTGAAGTTTTTTGTTAAATTTCGAACTTCAGCTCTGGAGCTGAAATTTTTGTTTTATANAGAGTGATTCATGCCTCAAGGAAAGATCACCAAGAATTTTTGGTGAAATGGCAGGACTGTGATGCAGAAGAGAATACTTGGGAGAGGGGAACAAACCTCAAAGCCTACAAGAGCCTCATTGAAGATTATTTTGCAAGTAAGGCGCCGAGGACGTCGCCAACTCAGGTGGGGGAGAATGTCATGGGCGGCTTTCCAGCCATGCCCCATGACCCCTTGGGCGCGCCCCGTGGCGTCCTAGCGAACCTCCCAATGCCTAGCGCCACGGACGGCCCCATGGTCTTGGTCGCGGCAAGTGACAAGCGCGCAGGTGCCTCTGTCGCCCCACCGATATCCCTCGCGAGCGCCAAGCCACAGGCAGAAGCCAAAAGCGTCGCGCGCGCAGACCGTGATGCCAAAGACACTGCTGCTGACAACGGACCTGCTGCTGCCTTATAGAAGACTAAGTCAGTTTCATTGTAAATATAGAGTAGTTTTATTTCATGTACTTCCATTATGTTTCTCTAGCTTAATTAAGTCTACTCCTGTAACTTTGGATTATTTTTTTTAAGTACTATTGGGGGGATCAAGCAATCAAAACTTTCTAGCAAGCAAGCAATTCTCTGTACTGGTGTCTCTCCCCCTCGACACCGTGTTGCTTTTCTGTAATAGCTTTCATTAATGCAATCAAGCTTTCTTTCATTCTGAATTCTCCTTTCTGTTCTCTCAATTGCTCTTGATATTGGTTTTCCCGTACGGCACTGACAATCTCGTCTAGCGTACGGAGGGGACCTCAGTTGGCGGACAGCAACTGCACTGACATCAGTTGCCTAGCCGTACGTCGCCCTTCCAAGGAATCTCAGGAAGGCGCCGCGTATCAGAACTCATGATAGATGGTGAATTGACGAGGACGGATCAAAGAGAAGAACGAACAAGCTTCGATACTTGCAAGCATCAGAAGTATAGGTGCATGCATATGACATTATAGGCAAATCAAATATCGAGAAGGGAGAGAAAAATGAAGTAATATATAAGACAGAACATATATTCATATAATAAGTGTGCCTTTGGGCTTGATCCGGGGACGTAGCTCAAAGAATAATATGTGAAGTTTGTTGGACCAAAGCGGACAATACATATATAGTATCAGAGTCAGATTTTCATAGTACGTACACGATAATGGTGTAATCCTCAGTGAGAACACTAAATCCGAGTATATATAAGGGTGGGTCAAAGAAAAAGACTGGCAAACTTTTAGGTTAACGAGCTTTCAGAGAGAGGGATTACATAAGTTCATATGGTGTGCACACTTTTAAGCTTGGATATGTCATAACCCAAAAGACAATAATGTGAAATTTGTTGGACTAAAAGCGAACAACAAATGTGATGGAATCACTAGCATGTTATAGTACCACTAGCATGCATATAAACCTTTTTAAACCGCAAAGCATCATAACCGTAGATCGAATAATGTAGTGCTGTGAATGTATTTGGATATTTATGACTAATTAAGAAGTATGCTCAATTTGTTGTGTACATATAAAAAGAAAAGACTTTAAAGTAAAAATGGACTTAAGCTGCTTTATATCAACTATCAAGGTCAAACTGTGAGGTCGTTTGGTTTAATTGTGGGATAGATGAAGATATCTTACGGATTGGGTTATTCCATCAAAATTAACTATCTCATCTTTTATATAGAATAGTTAATTTTAATATTGTGATATAAAATTTATTAGGAATCTGAATAATATCCATAATCAAAATTCTATCTCGGGATTAATATTCTTATCGTCAGAACTAGGGGTGTACCACTACTAGAATTCCGGAAAAAAGCGACCAGCAAAAGCGACCAACGTTGGTCGCTTATTGGCCAAAAAGCGACCAAAAAGCGACCAACCACGCCTGGTCGATATTAAGCTGGTCCCTTTACCTTAGGGACCAAAGTTGGTCGCTAAATAGCGACCATCATTGGTCTCCCAGGTAAAAGGACCAAATTTTCCGGGCAAAACATATAGCCACCAACTTTGGTTGCTCAAATATTTTAATATTATATATTTGGCGATCAAAGTTGGTCTCCAGATGTAAATAACGTTTTATTATATTTTTAATCATATTAAGCGACCAACTTTGGTCGCTATATTAATAAATGTTATAATTTTTTATTTATTGGGCGACCAATATTGGTCGCCAATGGCAATAATTTTTTTTTTTTTTTTTTAACTATAAGCGACCAACCTTGGTCGCAAAATTACCAGAAAATTATTTTTTTTTTAAGTGAATAGCGACCAACTGGACACCAAAGTTGGTCGCTTTTTTGGTATATTTTTAGCAGAAACTGCCTGTTTTGGCTGCTACACCACCTGCCAGCTTATACCAAATATCCTAAACAGGCATTTTATGCCAGCAGCAGCAACAACAACAACAACGACAACACTAAAACTCAACAAAATATAAAGATTAATAGAACTAAAACATTAAGCTAACAAAACTAAGTTAACATTTATTACAAGCTCATTCGAAAACTAGTTCTATTGTCTAGTTCAAAGTATATAAAGTACTCAAGGAGTGTTCTTTTAGCATCCTCGTTCGAAAGTTGGATTGTCTCGGCCGACTCGTTAGGTGGCTGACTTCGTATGAATTCCCCCACATCAGCTCTGAAGCGAACCTATAAGAAAAATTATATTGAATTAATATTTCAAAATTTATATAAAAGTAAATCAAAATACTTAATGATAAGTAAAAAACTTACATGTATAGTCGAGGCTCGACCCTCGACCCACCTTTCTGAATCAGTCTCTTTCTTCTTCTTTACAATACGAGTTTCATTGAATAGCTCATCTTGCTTAATTGGCATCATAAAGTTGTCCGGTGGCTTTGGTGATTATCCTCATGGTACTATTGCTCGGGATGAATTTGGATACAGAGAATAACTTGGATACGGTAGCTGACAGGGTGTGTCTTTTGATCAATTGTTGTTCTCGTTAGCGACAATGATGTTGAGACTGCAATGACATGTGTTTCAACTAGAGATGGTATAGGCAGGAATTTTAACATTTCCTAAGTAGATAAAAGAAAGATTATAGAGGAATTCTCTACTTCATTTTCCAAGAAGAAAAGAAGTTTAATTGAGAGTGACAAGGGTGATGGTGATGGAATGTTTCCGTGGTCATGACAGTTCCGATAAAACGGGNGATATAATATTACCTAATACGCTTATACTTAGTGCATAGTACAGCGTAAGTATATATATTACATATATATAAGCCATATTCGATATAATATTACCTAATACGCTTATACTTAGTGCATAGTACAGCGTAACTATATATATTATACATATGTATATATAAGCTATATTGATATAATATTACCTAATACGCTTATACTTAGTGCATAATACAGCGTAAGTATATATATTATATATATATATATAAGCTATATTGATATAATATTACCTAATACGCTTATACTTAGTGCATAGTACAGCGTAAGTATATATATTACATATATATAAGCCATATTCGATATAATATTACCTAATACGCTTATACTTAGTGCATAGTACAGCGTAACTATATATATTACATATATATATATGCCATATTCGATATAATATTACCTAATACGCTTATACTTAGTGCATAGTACAGCGTAAGTATATATATTGTACATATATATAAGCTATATTGATATAATATTACCTAATACGCTTATACTTAGTGCATAGCATGTTAGAGTATATTTTAGTCTATTCATCTCTTGTGTTACAAAAGTCTTAACGGCTTACATTTATATTATTTAGATAGTAAGTACAAAAGTGATTTTTAATTTTGACCATTGTTGACCTGAAAAGAGACCAACTTTGGTCGCTAATTATACTTAAATTTAAATTAGCGACCAAAGCTGGTCGCTAAATTTAAATCAGATTTATTTATATTTTATATAATATTTAAAATAATAATATAATTGTTACGGGTCCCATATTAGCGACCAAAGTTGGTCTCTATTTTATAAGCGACCAACTTTGGTCGCTAACTTTGAATTATATTTATTTATATTTTATAATTTTTTTAAATAATAATATAATTATTAAAATTTAATAAGTGGGTCCCACTATAGCGACCAACGTTGGTCGCTAATCTCAGTATTTCTTTGACCAAGCAAGTCTGACCAGTTCGGTCAACATTTTGACGAAATTATTAACCAAATAGTGACCAACTTTGGTCGCTAATGTATTTAAAATAATTATTTTATTATTTTCTTCAATTTAGAGACCAATATTGGTCGCTTTTCTTGACAGACCAACTTTGGTCGCTTTTTTCCGGAATTCTAGTAGTGTATGGTATTTAAATCAGTAAGTAATTTCTGATATCAATTTCAAGTAGATCGTGGATATGGCCCTTAGTTGAATAGCTAATTTTGAGCACGTGATGAAAGCGATAGTATATAGTACTATATAGAATTGATTCATGGAAAAGTTTTGCACTCGAAACAATTAAAGGACGGCGGAGGCTTAATCTGCAAGTTCAAAAAAACTGCATCGCAAATAAAAAGATAAATAGATATCATCCATGCAAAGCATATATATATAGAACTCTTGAGACTTCAAATGACAAAAAGTTACAGCTAGCGTAACAACCCATGGGACTATGCCAAAATGTATAGTTTAGTTTATTAATTCTCTATTATCTGAACATGCGATCCAATGCTCGAAACAAAGAGCCAGCAACTTACTAGATCCGCAGTTGCTCCTTTAAGCAGCATACGTACATGCTTCGTAACCTGCATTCATGTGCATAGATTTTCACACAAGTTATCACTATTACTTTTCAATAAAAATTAACAGAATAATCATAATCATGGGCACTGAACGAGATTCGAATTATGATTTCTTGATGATCACTATTAGACTATTCCTTAGAACATTTATGTGAATCATTTGCTTAATTAGAAAATCTTCAGGAAGTAGAAAAATTAAAAAATTTGGGAAAGATAAACTTACTAGGATCAGACATGGTGACAACACCGGTATTAATGAAGTCGCAATCCAAATCTTTACGACCGTTTGCTTGATAATAAGCGTTCATGGAATAAGCTGCATGAGCTCTAACCGTATTGGGCTCATAGCAAGAGCCACCATCTTGTATAGGCTGACAATCTATTCCCGAACTACACACGAAATCTATATTCGACTGCAGAGCTGCATCACTAGCATCTGTCCTTGGCACACACCATTTCTTATCCACTTCCGGTGCCATAGCTGGGGGAGAAGTCTGAATTTAAAATTTCAAGTCAGTGAGTACAAAGTGTAGTAATACAACATATATATATATATATTTTAAGTGTTTTAGTCAATCTATATATATATATATATATATATATATATATATACGTTTTATAATTACACTTAATGTAAATATACACGTATATTTTAATGTAAATAAATATTTTCTAATGGCAGTTAATCAATGCTGGTGACTTTATGCCATTCAAGAATCGGAAATGCTACTATCAAACTATGAGAAAGCGTGGGAGATTTCTCGGATCAATAATCATTGTAATGAAATACAATTATACCCTTAACACCAGTAACAGCAAATATCTTCAAGTCAAACTATACTAACAGGATATTTTCGTCATTAAACTCACCTCCTACAGAAAAAGAGAAAACCTATTGACATATTTAACCTTGAGGATTTTCCAAATTTTCGAAAATTACCTGTGTATTACGCAGAACGCCCACATCGTAAACTGGGCTGAAGTCGGGTCGAAACAATCCGAAGTTACGCTCCGAAGTGCTAGGCTTAAGGTCTTCATTGAACAGGGAGAAAACGTAAGTCTCAAAGGTCCTGTTAGGCATCAACGGCGTTCCCACACCGGAGTTCACATGCCTCACGAGGTTCACATTGTACGAAACAGCATTCTCCAAACTGACACCCGGTTGGTTCGGGTCACCCGCAGAAGGCCAACCCGTTTCCGCCACAACGATATCCACGTCGTCATAATCCAATAACTTCATCGCCGAATACACAGCATCGACCTGTGCATCAAACATGTTTGTGTAATTCATCCCCGTAACTTCATCGTAAACCCCAGCGTTTGGTTTAAACAGGGCATAATCTAGGGTTTTATCGTTAAACCCAAAATATGGGTACGGACAAATCATGAAGGGTGATTTGGTTTCACGGTGAAATTCTAGCATTGGGGCAAATATTACCCGATCGTACCCGCGTCTGAACCGACCCGAACTGGGAGGTTCGGAGCGGGACATGATTCCCAATGAATGTGGTGTTGACACCTGGATATCATTAATTCCAACTTGTAACAGAGCTTCGTGAATTGCTTTCATGGCGGGGACTAAATGCGCGATGAGATTTTTGTCACTAGTGGCTATGACCTCATTTCCAACGCAAATGCGATCTATTTTCGTTTGTGGATAATAAGGAACAACATTTTCATCTACCCATGATTGTGCACCGGCCGGTTTGGAAACAGTTAAAATATCGCCGTTTGGGACCGTGATTTTAACCCAGACGCCGGTGTTAGCGAATGCGCGGATGATTTCTGGGTTTGCATCGAAGATTTTGATTTTGTTAATGGTGGTTTGGTCCCTGATGAAGGCGGCGACTTGGGTCGGCGGTGGGAGGTTGTCTGCGACGGTTCCGTAGTTCACGCCGATGAGATAGTCCCCCAAGGAGCCGTTACAGAAAAAGAGGAAGATAAAGGGACAGAGAGTGTGGATGAAACAGAGCTTAGCCATGAAATTAAACGATGAGAACTGTTACTTTGTAAGCAGAGTGGTGTGCTGAGTGGTAGAAAACAGGGCTGCAATTTCTGCAACGCAGCCAAGGACGTGGTACTATAAAGTAGAAACGTGGAAGATGATATAGTCCTAATTTCTGCAATTCCAATGCCAAATCGACTCGGAAAAAAAACAAATGCCCAATTCGGACTCTTGAAAAATAAAAGAAAATTTCAATTTGACCATTGAAAAACGAACTTGAATTTTGATAATCTCTTGATTGCTGCTTAAATCCATTTAAATGCACACACATAAAAAAAAGGAATCATTTATTCCTATAATCTGCTTTTAACCTTCGAGTAGAATTGGCAACGTCTATAATAAAGCATCGCAGCGAAGTATTTACTACTACCTCAGTGGACGATGTATTTTTCTTTTTAGTCTGTTTTAAAATAAATAACATATTTTTTAATTTGGAAACAATTAACTTTAAACTCTTTATTTTATCCATTTTACCCTTAGTAAGAAGCTCTTATAACCACAAAAAGTCATGGCTTTAAAAAGCTTTTACCCCTTAAGCTTACCACAAGTTTTAAAAGTCTTTTTTTTTTCCTTAAACTCCATATCGAGTCAAACTACCTCATCTAAATTCAAACGGATAGAGTAACTATTAGCCTATTACGCACTAATAATTCTAGTTGGATAATTTATGTTCTTTAATCTCTATAAATATTTGCTACATTTCACTTCTAGAAATAAAATCTGGTCAAAATTTAAATTATATTCTTCCTCAATAATCCATCTTTTTGTAAAAGCTAATTAAAAATAATTCGTTTTAGCTTCACAGGATAGTCAAATTATCTCTTGAAATGAGAAAATTGGTAAATAAGTTGAGACAAATGAAGTAATATTTTATTGAACAAAAATTATTAGCTATGGTAGAAATAAAGTTTATTTGGTGCCATTTGTTAAAGTAATACTCTGTGAATAAAACTATTTTACCATAAAAGTTGGTTAATTAATAAAAGTTTAACCATCAATTGCCAATGCGATATTCAAGTATCATTACATTACGTTCTATCAAAAAATATATCATGCACTTCCGATCCGGTGCTATTTAATATATTCAAATTAAATAGGGCATTTTCGTAGATACCTATTTTTGGGGTCACTATTGAAGTTATACCCATAATGCACAAAAATTTGCAAAGTTTACCTGCTCGGATCTGAAGTAGAAGTAGTTCAATCTCTTCAATACAACTTCAGAAATCAAATTTGAAGTTCTTCTATCTTTCAAATGCAACTTTAGAAATTCGAATTTGAAGTAGTTCAATCTCTTCAATGCAACTTCAGAATCAAATCTAAAGTTCTTCTATCTTTCAAATGCAACTTCAGAAATTCGAATCTTAAGTAGTTCAATCTATTGAATGCAACTTCAGATTTCGAATCTTAAGTTCTAAAACATAAACTTGATCTTCGAATTTCAACAATCCAATACATAGTTCAATGCCCAAATCTATTTCAGATGAGCTCAAAGTTGAAACCTAGTTTTTCAAATATCATAAAGAACAAATCTCAATCATCAAATTGTCAAAACAACAACAAATTTAACAAACATGTCACGGCCCAAATCTCCCTCTGTAGATGTCCTGACGGCACGTAGTTTCTAACACTAGGTAAGCCTAAAAGTTGCGGAAAAACTGAACAACAACAGAAATAACTACTAAACCCTATATATATATATATATATATATATATATATATATATATATATATATATATATATATATATATTACCTAATACGCTTATACTTAGTGCATAGTANAGGTCTCGCTACTCACGGTACAAACGTTGGTAGAGTCTGAGGGATCGGTACGAGACATCTGTATTATCCCAGAGGCTACGGAGTTAGGAAAAGTTTCACTTTCGTTCTTTCTTGTCGTGCGATTCTGTTTCTCAAATACTGATTGTCGTTCTACTCTGTTCTTTCGCAGATGGCGAGAACACGTGCTTCCTCTTCTACCGCGCAGCAGCCCGAGCCCCCAACAGCAGCTCCTGCGAGGGGCAGAGATCGAGGCCGTGCCAGAGGCCGAGGCCGGGGCAGAGCTCAGCCCCGAGCAGCAGTCCCAGAGGTGGAGCCTCATGTTGATTATGATGAGGAGGCTCCAGCCCCAGCAGCTCCGGTGGGCCCAACTCAGGTCCCAGAGGGGTTCAAAGCCACCCCAGTTCTTCAGGACGCTCTGGTCAGATTGGTAGGCTTTGTGGAGAGCGTCACTAGAGCGGGTTTGCTTCCAGTAGCACCAGCCACTTCTCAGGCTGGAGGAGGGGTTCAGACTCCTGCTACACGTACTCCGGAGCAGGTAGCTCCCCAGGCACAGGTTCCAGTGGTTCAGCCAGCTGTGGCAGTTCAGCCGGGTATTGTGACTCCGACCGGCGATGGAGCGGCTATGTCTTCGGATACTTTGTGGAGACTTGATAGGTTCTCCAAGCTCTTCACCACCACATTCAGCGGTACTTCTTCAGAGGATCCACAGGACTTCTTATTCAGCTGCCATGAAATCCTTAGGACTATGGGTATTGTGGAGACCAATGGGGTCGACTTCGCCACCTTTCGGCTTGCAGGATCCGCCAAGACTTGGTGGAGGGACTATTGCTTATCCAGACCAGCAGGGCCGCCAGCTTTGACATGGGATCAGTTTGCAGAGTTGTTTTTGGAGAAGTTTCTCCCAGTTACTCAGCGAGAGGCTCTCCGCAGGCAGTTCGAGCGCCTCCAGCAGGGCACTATGACAGTCACGCAGTATGAGACCCGGTTCATTGATTTGGCTCGCCATGCCATTGTTATACTCCCCACAGAGCGAGAGAGGGTGCGGAGGTTCATTGATGGATTGATTCAGCCGATCCGTCTCCAGATGGCTATGGGAGCTGGTAGTGAGATTTCTTTTCAGGAGGCGGCCAATGCGGCCCGTAGAGTGGAGATGGCTCTTGCACGAGGAGGTGGTCAGGTATCGGATAAGAGGCCTCGTCATTCTGGTAGGTTCAGTGGTACCTCGTCTGGAGGTAGGGATTCTTATGGTAGAGGCCATTCACCGAGACCCTTTCATTCAGCACTCCAGGTTTCTCATGGTACTCCAGGCGGTGGTGGTTCTCAGCAGCATTATTCTGATCAGCAGCCCATCAGTGCACCGCCACTTCAGAGTTTCCGGGGAGGACATTCAGGTCGATAGGGCCAGCAGTCTCAGTAGCCGAGAGCTTGTTATGGTTGTGGTGACCCGAGTCACATTGTCAGATTTTGCCCTCGAGCCTCGGGTAGCTCTCAGCAGCAGGGTCCTCGCCCCATGATTCAGGCACCAGGTGATACATAGCTTGCCCAGCCAGCTAGAGGCGGTGGTAGGGATCATAGAGGTGGAGGTAGAGACCGTAGAGGTGGAGCTCGGACCGGCAGAGGTAGGGGTCAGCCAGTAGCAGATCGTCCCAGAGACATGGTTTAGGGAGGTGGGGCCCAGCCCCGGTGTTATGCTTTGCCAGCCAGGCCAGAGGCTGAGTCTTCAGATGCTGTTATTACAGGTACTATTCTGGTCTGTGATAGGGATGCCTCAGTGCTATTTGACCCTGGGTCTACGTATTCATATGTGTCGTCCTATTTTGCACCCTACNTTATAGAATATTTTGTTGTTATTTGCAAAGAGAAAAAGAAAATTTACAAAAAATATATAGTTTCTTTAATTAGTATTTTGATAAATAAGCTATGGTATTTATAGTATTATTTAAATTATATGTAATATTTAGTTTTCTTATATATATATATATATATATATATATATATATATATATATATATATATATATATATATTTTTATTTTTTTATTTTCTTTTTCTTCTTTCTCTCTTCTTGGTGTAAAAGTAGTTGATCAATATTATCATTTTCATAATTACCTTATCTTTAAAAAAAAACATAATAAAGTTAAAATATGTCAAAAATAGGAAATTTTTTTTTAAAGAACTCCCCACTTCTCATGTCTTATTCCCAATTCCCCACCACCCCATGATCTTGTACACAACACACACCCATGATCTTCCACACTTCCCACTTCCTCACATAAGTTATAAAGGACATACTAAGGAGAGGAAGGGGGCAGACGTGAAAAACAAAAAGAAAACTAGAAAACGAGAAGAAATTGGGAGGAAGATTTGAAAACGGAGATCTTTTGGCAAAAGAAAAAGAACGTGAAAAAAAGGAAAAAATCTGACTATAAGAAATTTCAGCAATTATTTTACTTTGTATCTTTAAGTGATGCCTGTTTCTTCTTCTCTTCTTATTGTTTAATGCATGTGTGCTTTGCAATTTATATTTTTGTCTGTTCCAAACGTTTAAATTTTAGTTTGAATCTATTGTCATGCCATAATTTTTATGAAAATTATAAATCATAATTAATTGATAAAAATCATTTAAATTTTTCGTCAAGAAAATACTTCTTGGGTTAAGTCCTAGTTATTGTGTTAGTTCATTCCTACCAGTTCTAGTTATTGTCTTTATTTTGGTAATTATTGGCAATTTGTTAAGTCCTTATCCTTTTTTTAGGATTAATTTTTTTTTATCGAACCAGCATCCTAGTGACTAAGTTAGTGATAAGTTTGTGTAATTTAGTTTTACTTAGTTTAAATAGTTTTAGAATTGGCTCATATAATTTATGTTAAAGCAAATTACTTGGATGTGTTTAGAATCCCATTAGTTCAAAAAGAATAAAGTTAATATATAGTTACATGTTCTTTTGATTGAGTTTTAATGCAAGCATAGATCTAATTCATTTATTTATAATTTAATGTGTTGTTTAATTAAATAACTCAAATTTTATGTAGCAGTACCCAAAAGCATAAATCCAAAAATATTCTGATGATTCTTTAGTTTTAATTGGGTTAAGATTTTTTTTAGTTTAGTTAAGTAAAATATTTTCAGTAGTTTGGTTCTCCCACATGGTTTTTTTTTTCTTAATTATGTTCACCTTTTAAAACTTCAAAATACAGTGTTATAGTTAGTCATTCATTTTTAGATAATATAGTTCTCAATAGGTGCTTGAGATTTTGTAGATTGTGTTGACATCATTTGAATTTTATT